GTCCTCGGTGTTTCCCGGAAACCCGAACACTTGGCTAAGCAGGTGAAATGCATCGCCGCTCTCTGTCAATTTTATCCGGAAGCGGCCGCGAGTTACATCGCCGTCGCGATCAACGCCATGGCCAAGAGGGTCGAGACGTCCGGTTGCTTGGAGATATTCCGGCTGGCGATGCCGCAGCTCGGCGCGGAGGACGTCGTGGACCATCTACGTCACATGAGGCTGCAGCAAGTGCTGGAGAACCGAATGCACTGCGAGAAGCTGGTGCTGCGCGTCGTCCACGACTTGGTGACGGTTCTTTCGCCGGTGGATCTGCTGCCCTACGTGAATCGGGCGATTCCGTATGTCAAGGACGGCAGCACGGAGTCGCGGGAGCTGGTTTACCAAATACTTACGAACGTTTACAAGAGATATCTGACGTACAACGCGCTGGACGATCAGGTGACCGTGCAGACTCTGCTGTCCGTCAGCGTGCAGAACTTGCTGGCCGGCCTGTTGGATCCCTCTCGCGATCTGCAGGAGAAGATACTGCATTTCTGGGCGGAGGAGACCGATTTCAGCGCGCAGAGATCGAAGGATCGCTTGCTCGCGCTACTGGACATGCGTTTGCCGCGCTGGACGACGTCGCAGGACGTCTTCGCGCTCTTCGTCGCACTGCTGATGCTGCAGCTGTCCACCAAATCGACGGAGTACAACAAGAAGATATTCGACGCGCCGTTGCACCGGAACTGCACCTTTCGGGATCGCAGGATAGAGATTTCCTGCCAAAGACGGAATCTCAGCAGCGTGACGCCGATGTTCGTCAAGTCGTTCGCCTCCCAAATGATGACCTACGGCGCGTTCTCGCAAAGCGTCGACAGCGACGTCACGGCCGCGCATTTCTCGCACGATGCGGCGAAACCGCGCGCGATGCAGGATTGGCAGTTCGAGCCGACTCTCGACGAAGAGGCCGCCGCGAACGCCACTGCGGCGTTCAGTGCTTCGTCGCTCGACGCCGAATTCGATCGCGCGACAACCGCGCCGAACCGATCCCGGCAAGAAACAATTGCACGCGACAAAAGATTTCCTAGATTTTTGGCGAACAAGTCGGAGGTCTCGAAGGACATGCGTAACAAAAATTATCGGAAGAATAAGCAGCGGGCGGAAATGATGAATCAGGAGACCGTCAGGCAAAGAAGCAGCGTGAAGCTGAATAAGTAAGAGCCACTTGTTATTCAGCATCTCTTAAATTATACTTTGCGAACAATATGTCGGCTTCACTTGCTTTTATCGCTTCCTCTTTTCTAATTCCGATTTTTCTAATTAGTAATTACAGAAGCGGAGATTATCCCGACATCGAGATCACTCATTCGAGCTTCATCGTGCCGCTTCAGCAGTTGATCAAGCTGGATCGGCTGTTCTGCAAACACGTGACTGTATTTCTGCTCGAGTCGTTGAGCCAGGAGATGATTGAGAAGGAGAATTCGGAGGATTTCCGTCAAGCGATCGTAGAAAAGCTGAATCGAATCCTGCATAACTCGTGCGATAGAGAGAGCTCCATCAACGCCATTATTTTGGAGACATTTCTAAACCTGAAAGTCACCAGCTGCGATCCGCGTGATATAATAAGAGCCTCAAAAACTAACGGCTTAGACGTCCTCGGCCTTTTTCTGCTGGAGCATTTTCTGTCGAATATATGGGACGATGATTCGTCGCCCACGTCGAGCAAGAAAATGCGAGTGCAGGATAATTATATGGAAAATGAAAAGATCGACAGATGGGCGCAACTGGCGTCTTTCTACAAATCACTGAACGATGTTGACGTCGTCCTGAGTATTTTTCGAGAACGACAGTTCTTGGGCGAAGCCGTGCAGGTAATTCGAATATTATCAGACGGACACAAAAGTATAGATTTAAAATTGAAAGCGAAATCGATAGTTTTCCAATAATTTTTATCGTTTTGTAACAATCAATATTTTTATTGTTAAAAAGTAAAATTGCTCACTCAGTTGTGCTTTTAATTCAGGAAGCGGCTCTCGCGGAAGCGAACGGCGATTGGGCTCGAGCGAGGGACGCGTTTTCGAGAGCTTACGAGCAAAGCGGAAACTCGTCGATGAAGGAACATTGCTTGCAGGGGTTGCTCGAGGCTGTGAACAATTTGTGCGACTGGTCGGAGATCGATCGGCTTGTGAAGAGCCGCTCAGCCGACAAATTCCTGGGCGATTTGTGGGACGACGCGTGGAAAGACTGGATGATCCCGTACGCTTTCGACGCCTACGTACACATGACGGCGGAGGGCATCTGGAAGGCCGACCATGATCTGACGATCATTCAGTCGTGGATGTGCAATGCGGAGAAATTGGAGCATCTCAAATTTCTGATAGGCGAGGATTTGATAATCTTTTTAATGAGAACAGAGCAGGACAAGGCCACCGATCTGCTAAATAATCTTCTGGACAAGGCGGGGGAGCAGTGGATCAGGTTGAGTCCTCTCTGCACCGAGTTGGGAATACGCAAATTGCAGAAGCTGCAGATTATGAACGATCTCGACGCTTCGCTCAAGCCCCTTCGATGCGCGAGGATCAATCATTTGGACAGAATGACCGCGCTATTGAACTTCTGGTCGACGAAAATGCCCAAGATGCAAGACAATCTCGTGCAGTGGAATAAGCTAGCCGCCTGCCGAACGTACTCGTCAATATTGCTCGAGTATATGTGCGACGAGCTGTGGGGCGACGAGCTGTGGGGCGACGAGAATAAGAGCGAGATCAGACAGCGGATGCGGCGGATGAATTTCCAGCTGCGATTGGACATCGGCGACGCCGCGCTGAAACAGAAGCACCGATACATCGCCGAGAAGCACTTGACTTACTTGAAGGGCGTTTGCAATTTAGGCGAGGAGCTTCCGTTGAAATGGTTCGAAGCCAGGACCAGGTACGTCGTCGCGGACGTTGAGACGGACGTGAGCAAGAAGATGGCCGGTTACGCGGCTTCGTGGGAACACTCGCACTCTCTGTTGAATGAGAGCGGCGAACTCGACGCCGGCCTCAGCACCGCCATCCGGAAACATATCGGTGCGATGGCTTCGAAGCTGGAATCCTTGAGTGGAGAGGACGAGTTCGCGCATGCGTTGATGAGCAAAACCGCGATCCTGCGGGACGTGGGAATCGCGGAGCCGACGAGGGTCAATCCGGACGACGTGAAGAGGCAGCTGTTGCAATACAGCTTGAACAACTTCCGGCTCTGCTGCGAGCACGCAGCGGCGACCGACGTCGGCGAGCATTACTGCGCCCTGGCGAGGCACTGCTACGGCAGGCTGATCGTCGCGGAAAGCGACGGGATGTTCCGGGAGTTCCTACATTCCGTTCTGAAGTCGATGAGTCACAGTTACTTCGAGGCGACGCATTATTTCCCCTGCTTGCTGCGACCCGAGCGCTTGCAGGACGAGCGGACGCGCGAGACGTTCGCTCGGGAGTGCGCCGAGTTGCAGCCGTGGTTGTTCCTGCGCTGGCGGGACCTGCTGTTCTCTCATCTGGGAACTTGGTCGATCGCGGACTTGGTGCGGCCGATCGTCGAGCGGCTCGCCGAGAAATATCCCGACGCGATCGCCTACACGTATCACCACGCGGTCGAGAGAAACCCCGAGGCTCTGCAAGACGGCAGAGCACAGCGGATACGCTCGCTCTTGGGCGACAAGGCGGAGCGGTACAAGCGGATCTTGCAGGCGATACAGTACGTGGCGCAACCGTTACTGTACCTGAAGTATCACGTCGACGAACTGACGAAGGAGCTGTCTCGAGGAAACGCCACGATGGTCGAATCGTTATGGCGGAGAGTCTCTTCGATTCTCGACGCTCAGGCGATGAACAAACCTCGGCCCGGCAAGAGCTACGATAAAATTACCAAGTTTGTGAAGACGATAAAAGCCTTGGATCTTAATAATCGCGACGCCGTGCGAGAAGAGTTGGAAAGAATGAAGCGGGATCTAATGCCCTTCTTGGAAAACTTAAAAGGAGGAAGGCACGAGCTGAGTGATTTCAGTCCGTTCTTGCTCGAGTTCACCGGCGACGATATCGAGATACCCGGACAATATTCCGACGATGGGCAGCCCATGCCGCGTTATCACGCGAAGCTCGCGGGCTTCGAACCGGATGTGACGATCATGCCGTCGCTGCGCAAGCCGATTCGCATCGGCATGATCGGCGACGACGGCAGGAAATACAAATTCCTGGTGAAGTTCGGCGAGGATCTGACGATAGACCGCGGTCTGCAGCAGCTGTTCGCCACCATGAACAGAACGTTGCGCAATGACGTCAGCTGTGGACAAAGACGCTTAGCCGTGGACACGTATGAGGTATGTTTTCCAACGCGCGACATTCATATCACATCTCTGTATGTCAATAATGTTTGTGCGTTTCTTTCATTCGCAGGTGATTCCGCTGTCGAGATCGTTCGGTCTCATACAATGGATTGAGGACACGAAGTCCCTGGAGGATCTCATACAATTCAGCCTGTCGCAGAAAGACAATGCTCAATGCGAGGGCATTCGCAAGAATTACTCGGAGTGGATAAGGAAGGCGGCGCCGGTGAAATGTCGAATCCCCGATCTGTATAAAGAAGCCGTATCCAAGTACAGCCAGCAAGAGGTCACGAAGAAGATGGAGCACCTTATCACCAGGACGAAACAAACGGCTCTGCGCCAAACGTTCGTCACAGTCAGCTCGTCGTCCGAGTGTTTCGTGACGTTGCGACGCAACTTCATCGCGAGTTACGCGACGATGTGCGTGGCGCATTGGCTCGCAGGCGTCGGCGATCGTCATCTGCAGAACACCCTGGTGCGCGCCACCGGGCGATGCCTGGGCATCGATTTCGGCCACGCTTTCGGCGCCGGCATACGCGCGCCCGTACCGGAACTCGTGCCGTTCCGCCTAACACCGCAGATACTCAAGTTGCTGCAACCCTTCACCGAGCGCGACCTCCTGGCGACGATCATGATCCACGCGATGCGAGCTCTGCGCAACGATCGAGGCCCGATTCTCGCTTGCATGGATATCTTCATTCACAAACCCGCCAATCGGTCGGCGATGATCAACGACGACGAAGGCAATGCGGATATCGACGCAGGTAATTTATATTCATTTGTAAAAAATGAGAAAAAGTAATATAATATAATTCATATAATTTGCAGACTCAACATGGTCGTTCAGGAAAAATATCGAGATAGTTGCGCAAAAATTAAATGGCATCCATCCGTCGTTCATCACGTTAAAGCAATTGAAAGAAGCGCATGACAATGAGTACTTTATGAGATATCGTGCCATTGTCTCCGGTGAAGATGGGCCTAAACAAGCACGAGCAAATATGAAGAATAATTACTTGACACCTGCCGAGCAGGTAATTTTGGTTCTTCTGTAGCTACATTTCATTATCAAGATATCTGTCGAAGTAGAAAACTTCCTGAAATTTTTTGCTTTGCTTGCGTATTAATGATTGATAATGTTTCAGGTGGATTGTTTGTTAGATCAAGCAAGAGATTTAAATATCTTGGGTCGCATGTACGTAAATTGGCAACCTTGGCTGTGATACTATTGTGATACATATAGCAATATGTCCAATCACAATTTATGAAGAGCACAAAGTTCCATTTATAAGTATTTTTTTGTATACACATACAAACGTCCAAGGATATTGTTTATTTGTATTAAAGGTAAGAAACTAATTTAATATAAATTGAAGCAATTATGATAAAGATATATAAAAAAATCTTGACAATTTCTAAATAATTAATCTGATAAGTAAAAATATCAATTTTTTTTAAGAAAAACAATATCTACTTTGTTAAAGTCAGTTATATTAATTGTATGAAACTTTTATATATTCTATGACTTATATTTTTATACATATATCTTAAAGTTTTTATCGTAAAATGAAGTACATATTAAATATTTTAATGAATAATCTTGTTAAATTTTTTATCAAATAAAATGTATTTTAATTATGCAAGTGACTTGTAACTTTTTACATATAAATATTGAAATACAAGTATTATAGTTTCTAAATATAGAATTATTATGTATAACTGTTTCCTTCCAAAAAGATATCTAAATAAATACTTTTAATACAAAACAAGTCAAAAAGAGAAAGAGAAAAAAAAAATTATTGAAAGATTAGATGCTAATTTTATATCTGGTTTTTATTTTTACGTTTTATTTTTATAGCTTTGTACTTACAGCCACTTAAAATGAGAATATTTATTACGCTTTCAAACTAAATTAAAAAAGTTATTTCTAATACTATTTTCAATAGCGATTATCAAGGTATATCGAAATTGACTTTCTCTACTAATTAAAAGTTTATGTTACATCGATAATAAAATATTCTGTATAAAATTCTACTTACTTTACACAAACGAAATAAATTGGTGTTCAATGCGATTTTTCTATTAAAAAAAAATATGATTTGTACAAGAGGTGATAACAATTTCAAATTTATCAATCATCCTTATGTATCGCTTTTCCATAATTTAATGGTCTTGTCATTCTCTAGAGCGGCTGAGGCTATAATATTTTCCGTCGGGTGACATGTGGTGCAAAGTACTACATCTGAAAACAATGCGTATATACGATTAGCAAAGATTCAACAAAATTGCCGAAAGTTCGAGAAAAGGAAAAATATCGTCTTACAATCTCAATTTATAGCGAACACATATACAACATTTAGATACTACATTTTTATCTAAATATTTTTATAATTTTATCCGAATAATCAGAATAGTAAAAAGCATATCTTTTCAATAACGTTCATATGTGCATCTAAATAAAAGACTTTCGAGCGTGAAAGCATCCATTTTCGTTGTTTTTGCATATGCTTACCTGTGTGACCTTGTAACTTCTGTACTATCTCCTTTGTTTGTAGATTCCAAATGTACACCATATTATCTTCAGAGCCAGATACAATCCACTGTAAAGATTGAAAAATATAAAATGTGTTTGAAGTACATTGCACATCTTCGATTCATAATTAACACGGTCAAAATTAATTAATATCATAATATGCACCTTTCCACCTGTTACAGAGAAGTTCGCAAAGATACAATACTTCTCATTCTTGTGACCAGTGTATGTTTTCAAGCATTTCCCTTTGCTATAGTCCCAAAGTTTCAACGTATTGTCCAGTGTAGCTGCTAAGATGTACTTCCCGTTTGGTGAAAATTTAACAAACGATACTGGAGGATTGTCATCGTCTATTAAGGTTTTCAGACATTGTCCTGAGGCTGTGTCCCAAATTCGACTGTAACACATCATACAATATGAGAGAACATGTGATAATTATGTACTTTTTTTCATAGATTATCTCGATTTGATGTTGCTGTGCTTACCATAATCCATCATAACTACTGGAAACAATTAGAGAACCATCCCTGTTGAAATGTACTGCACTTACAGGATCTGAATGTGCTGGCAACGTTTTAAGACACTTTCCAGTTCTGACATCCCAAATTCGTACACTTTCGTCAAACTAAAATGAACAATTCTTCTATCTCATTTTTTGTTTTATAATTAATGTAATCTACTATCTAATCCAGTGCTCGGAATTAGTCTGAACATTTCAGCCGATTTCCGTGGTATACGCCTCCTTTCCTCTCCTTATCGCGCGCGCCGCAGCCGCTAGGGCCAGCGCCGCCGAGCGTTAGGAGCGACACTATCTGATTATGAGTGGGTTCTTCTCCTTATTTATTAAAATTAAAAAAAATGTATTAAAATTTATTAAAAATAAATTTTTATTTTAAATTTATTAAGTTGGTAAATATTTCAATAGATTTCTATGTCACCCATGAGGTACTAATACTGACACGTTTTTCAAAAAGTGGTTTTTATCTACATTATTGCATCAATT